TGGTTTAGGGTTTGGTATCTGCTGACGAGGACGACGACATTCCCGAAGCCCTACACCCGCAAACCTTAAACCCTAATCTAAACCCCAAACCCTAAACCCCCAAACCCTAAACCCTAAACCCCCAAACCCTAAACCCTAAACCCTAAACTCTGAACCCTGAACCCTGAACCTCCAAACCCCAAACTCCAAACCCTAAAACCTAAATCCCAAACCCTAAACCCTAAAACCCCAAACCCTAAACCCTAAACCCCCAAACCCTAAACCCTAAACCCCCAAACCCTAAACCCTGAACCCTGAACCCTGACCCTGAACCTCCAAACCCCAAACTACAAAGCCTAAAACCTAAATCCCAAACCCTAAACCCTAAACCCCCAAACCTTAAACCAACCCCCAACCCCAAACCCCAAACCCCAAACCCCAAACCCCAAACCCCAAACCCCAAACCCCAAACCCTAAACCCTAAACCCTAAACCCAAAACCGACCCTAAACCCTCTTTCTGAAGTGCAACTTGTACAACTGCTTGTTTTGAGGGCTCGGATGCTCGAAGACTTGGGGTCGACCCCCCCCCCCCCCCCCCCCCCTTTTTAAAAAGGCCCGAAAAACCAATACCCCATTGAGCCAAAAAAGGTTGTAGGGGTTTAGCGTTTAGGGTTTTGGATTTAGGGTTTAGGGTTTAGGGTTTAGGGACAACTTCGCCCATGGAACCGCCACGCCAGACTCCGGTCTTCGCCTCCAACACGCCTGACCTCAGCAAGAGCCTGAGATGATGGGGGTTTGGGGTTTGGGGTTTAGGGTTTAGGGTTTAGGGTTTGGAGTGCAGGGTTTAGGGTTTCTTGGGCTTAGGGCTGAGGGTTGCTGAGGAGCCAAGAGTTCGTACGGAGGCTTGCTCCAACTCATTTTCCGCTAGGATCTCTTCTTGGGTTCCCTTTAGAACTAAGGCTCCGCATTACAATCCCGGAAGACAATTGGTTTAGAAGAAGCCCTATGTTCGCAGTTGCTGAGCACATGGGTTGGACCTTGTTGATGCGTTGATTTGTTATGACCATCTCAAACGGGCTCGAAGAACAGACAAGGGCTGAGGAGCAGATAATATATTTACTTTTTTTGGAGTCTTGTTCCAAAACCCAAATCTTAACCTTACTAAACCCTTGTCTGGGACTTGGTTTGTCCGGTGTCATTGTAAGGGCTTTAAGGGGTTCTAGAATCGAGGATCTCAAATAGCAAGCCCAGTTTGTTTTCGTAGTTCAGAATTGAGAGTGCCAAAACCCTGCAGGCTAAAGACTAAGCCCTAACCTTCAAAAGGAGTTAAGCTTGGGGGGGGGGGGGGCATTTAGGTTCTCGTAAGTGTTTGTGACTTCGCGGCCCTACGCCCGCAACTGTAGATGCTAGACCAAGCGAGCCTTGAAGCTGTGACCAGATACCCTATGCTACTGAAACTCCCTCTTTGGGCATGTGAACCAACAACCATTTCAGGTGAACATGCTCCGGAAGCTAACCCATCGACCTGGCTTCCTAAACCCTGGAACCCTGAGCCCTGAAAACTAAACTTTCAAGACGCCGCAGGTGATGATGAGTGCTTCAAGTGCCTGACGAAGCGTGGCACGATCCTTCCCAACAAGAAGTCCGAAGCTCGGATGGTGCTTGTTTTTGCCTTAGGGCCCGTAGGGTTTACTAGCATGCAGGATTTGGGGTACGTGTAGAGCCCCTAAACCCTAAACCCTAAACCCTAAGCCCTGAACCCTGAACCCTAAACCCTAAACCCTAAACCCTAAACCTTAAACCCTAACCCGCCATCCTGAAAACTATAGAAGAATTTATCCATATGGACCCGAAAGGCCCGAAGCCCTAAATCCAAAATGGGGGACTAGACCTGCGAGGGCTTCCATGCCACCCTAAGATTGTCACACCTGCGATGAGCAAGGGGCTCATCTTCTAATACAGGCAGATAAGCATCGATTCTTGAGTTCATCTTGAGAGCACCCTCAATCCCAGTTTAAGAGCCTAAGTCCTTCCCCCCTCTTTTTGGAAGCTGCTTGTTGTAGGTTTTGAAGATAGCAATGCCCGACACGCACGCCGCGTAAATCCCTAAATGGGAGTATAAACCCTTAAACCCTCCTAAACCTCAACCCCAAACCCTAAACCCCAAACCCTAAACTCTAAACCCTAAACCTTCAACCCTAAACCCCAAGACCCTAAACTCTAAACCCTAAATCTTCAACCCTCAACCCTAAACCCTAAACCTTTTTGCCATTCCTTTGGGCAGGTTTGAGATGAGCTTCGAGTTTTCTCCCCAGAGCAGCCGGACGAAGGATGGACCTTCTGCAGGGTTTTGGTTAAACCTGGGAGGAGCCTGTATATGATGTATATGTATGTAGATGTATATATATATATGTATATATATTTATTTAGGGTTTGGGTTTAAGGTTTACGGGTTAGGGCTTCGGCTTTAGGGCGAGAGGGGTTTAAGGTTTATGTATATTATCTATCTATATATATATATATATGTATATGTGTATATATATATATGTATATGTGTATATATATATGTATGTGTATATATATATATGTATATATATATATATATGTATACATATGTATATATGTACATAGATATATATATATATTTATTTATCGATCTATCCATCAGAAGGATTAACCTGCAACCCCTGCTCCCCAACCGTCCCAAAGCACCCCTGAGCATGAGGGTATGTAGGGCTTAGGGTTTAGGGTTTAGGGTTTAGGGTTCAGGGTTTAGGGTTTAGGGTTTAGGGTTTCGGGTTTCGGGGCATCTCGAAGGAGTCCTTCTGGTCCTTCGTGCTCCTTGGGCCGAAAGTGGAGGAACACTTCCTGGTCGCAGGCCAGCAATCTTCGGGCTTTACCTGGATTGGGGTTTAGGGTTTAGGGTTCAGGGTTTAGGGCTTAGAGCTTAGGGCTTAGGGCTTAGGGCTTGGGGCTTAGAGCTTAGGGCTTAGGGCTTAGGGCTTCGGGCTTCGGGCTTCGGGCTTAGCTTCGGGCTTAGGGTTTAGGTCCCAGACCACCCTTGCCCAGAGCCCTTGAAAAGATCCAAGAAGTAGATCCCTTTAAGGGTTCCGCAGAATGCCCCAGCAGTAGTAAAAGCGATTGTTTGGCGGGTTCTACCTTTTTGGAAATCCTCCCAGGGATCTGGGTAGTAGTATAGCCCACAAGCCACACCATCAAGCTTTCCGGGCCCTCTGGCAACGCTAAAAGGGGTTTCATGTAGCTTCGTCAAGTTTGGGTGCTTTTGTTGTTTGTTTTTTTCAAGGGTCAGACCCTAAACCCTAAACCCTAAACCCCAAACCCCAAACCCCAAACCCTAAACCCTAAACCCTAAACCCTAAACCTCAGGGGAGGTTTGCGATTTGAGTCTTGGGAGAGAACTGCGGTCTAAGAATGAATAGCATACCCTTGGGGCATACCCTTACACAAATTAAGGGGGTATGGCACAATCCCCTCAAAGTTCCCTTTTTTTCAAAGGACCCATCAGGTTAAGGGACATGGGTTTGGGACATGTTAAGGTGTTCTTAGAGCCGGGCGTGGGTTTCCGGGATCTATGTTGAGGGTTTCCTTGTGCCCAAGCACCTCGAGGTTCATGGGCAGTTAACCCCGAACCCTAAACCCCAAGCCCCAAGCCCCAAACCCTAAACCCTAAACCCTAAACCCCAAACCCCAAACCCTAAACGCCAAACCCTAAGAACCCTAAGAACCCCAAACCCTAAACCTTAAACCCTAACCTCCAAACCCCAAGCCCCAAACCCTACTGACGACTCCTGGTCCTACCTGCATGTAAACAGCGTTCAACCCGGTAGGACCTTGGGATGTGTTTTTGGTTTTCCTTGGGTTTAGGGTGCAAAGTTTAGGGGTTCCGGTTTAGGGTTTAGGGTTTAGGGTTTAGGGTTTAGGGTTTAGGGTTTAGGGTTTGGGGTTTAGGGTTTAGGGTTTAGGGATTTCCCAGTTTTGGGTTTCACAGGATCCACATCAACATCAAGGAATATCTTTCGCATCTTTTTAATGGCCAACCTCGATTTACGCAGCCTTGAAGCATCCTTAAACGAAAGCGAACTTAGCTGCAAACTTTTGGTTCTCCTCATCTCTGGTAGGGATAACGAGGGTTTAGGGTTTAGGGTCTAGGGTTTAGGGTTTAGAGTTTAGGGGTACTGCGAAGTCAGTTAAGCAAGCAGGTATTGTCCAGGAGCCGCGCATCGGCATGGATAAGCCGCGACCTCAGGGGGTCTCGTCGGGAGCCGAGGCGTCTATTAGTCCTACGTCTCCCAGACCCCGGTAAAGGAGAACCCCCCATAGTACCCTATACTACTATTGGGTCATTCTTAGGAACCCTTTAAGGCTTTAAGGGATCTATTTTTTGGATTCTCCCAGAAGTTTAAGAGGAAGAGCAAAGGTAAGAGTATGCAAGAGTACGTGTGAGAGCAAGAAAAAGAGAAAGAGTAAGACGAGCCACGGTGCCCTGAATTTTGACAAAGCATTGGAATCCATGGGTTGGGCGTGTGCGGCCCCGTCAACTTCGAAGCCCATCTAGGATTCCTTACCCAACTTCGAGCATCCAGTTCTTTCGCTGCCACGGGGTCCAAATGCACCAAGCCACATGCCTTAAGCCAATAATGCGAATGATCCCCGAGCATGCTCTCGATAGATTTCTGTTGGCCCAACACGAACACCCACTTACGACACTAAAACCCTACACCTAGCAGCGCTTCAAGCCGCGAATCCGAGCTTGACCCCACTTCAATTTCAGAAAGTTGATGTTGGATATTTCGCATCGTTAGCCGGCTGCAAAATGGATGTCTTTTGAGGGGGTCTAAGGCATTGTGGCTTTGAGGCTAAGGCAAGGGTTAGGGTTCGATGCTGGGTTTGCGGGTTGCGTTAAAGGGGCGCAGGGTTTAGGGTTTAGGTTTAAGTGTTTAGGGTTTAGGGTGTCAGGGTTAAGGGTTTAGGATCCCCAGCTTGGGGAGTGTCACGCGCCATGGCCACGGGAACAGTGGAGTGGGTGCCGGATGACCAGGCTTGGCAAGAAAGTCATGGGTTGGTGTTTAGGGCTTATAAGGGTTTAGGGTTTAAAGATTTTGAAGTAATTAGAAGTAAACCTTCACCCAAAAACCTAAGCCCCACCGATTTTTCGGCCTGTGGTTGACCTAAACCCTAAATCCTAAACCCTAAACCTAAACCCTAAACCCTAAACCCTAAAACTCTTGGAAAAGAGGGGCCTTCCTCACCCTGTCGGACTGTTGTCCGACACGCAGTGCGCTGGAAGCCCTCATCCACCAAACCGCGAGTTCCCCCGGGTTTAGGGTTAGGGTTTGAAGGTTTAGGGTTTGAAGGTTTAGGGTTTAGGGTTTAGGGTCTAGAGTTGAGGGTTTAGGGGCTTAGGGTTGGGGAAACTCCGGGTGGAAGGGGGGGGGGGGGGGGGGGGTGCAGGGAGTGTTCTAGATTCGGGGCCCATACACAGTGTGCCATCTTCTTGTCTGCCGTCTGCCTACCATTGTCTTCCTCCTTGAAGGACCCAGGCCTCGAAAGTGTCGCAAAAACTGGATACCATCTCCGCATACTACTTGGTTCATGGGTGGTGCAATAAAGTGTGGCTGTAAGTGGGGCAGAGAGAGTTCGAACCGCTTCTAAACCACCTGGTATTCGGGACGCATATGGCTTCTATGCCTACGTTATGTCTACTTCAAGATCCATGACACACCAGTCTCAGGTCTTCGCAAGGAGGGCTGGATTTGAGCTCGAAACACCTGCAAATAGCATTCTCGACGCTGGGTTTAGGGTTTAGGGTTCAGGGTTTAGGGTTTAGGGTTTAGGGTTTAGGGCACTAAACCACCTTACTCACGAAAGAACTCGCCAAACTAGCTCACGCACGGACTCACCTCACCAACAGACCGTCCGCCGCGCGCCAAATGAGCTGGCGCGCACCACGCTCAAACACACGCATGCGTGCCCTCTTCTCACTCTTCCACTCTGCTCTTGTCTTCGTTGGCGGGGTCAGGGTTTAGGAAGTTTAGGGTGCTTGGGGGTGGGCTGACACGGTTCAAGGTCGATGGTTTGGCATATGGTGTTCCGGGCAGGTCAGCGAGTGCCCACTGTGCACACGAAGCTGGACGGCACGTAACAGATGACCTTTTTTTTGTTGGGGGCGGGGGTGGTTTGGGGGGGCGGGGGTAGGGTCTGTGGGTTCTTGCAACAGAGACAGGCAGACAGCCAACCTACAGCCCCAAAAGCATAAAACTCATAAACACACCCTATACAACCCCTGAAAACCCTACCAAAAGCCTTAACAACCCCTTCATAAAACCCTACACAAAAAAGAACCTCTCAACACCCATGAAAACCCTATGAAAAAACCCTGTGACAACCCATGAAAACCGTGTAACATAGGGGTCGGGATAATTACTGCTGGTATTCTCTTGTGGTCCGAGTCCATATCATAATAACCCCTCAAAAACCCTGTTCTAACTATTAAGGCCCTTCCCTAAACCCCAAACCCTAAACCCTAAACCCTTTACCCTTTAAACCTTAAACCCTAAACCCTAAACCCTAAACCCTAAACCCTAAACCCTAAACCCTAAACCCTAAACCCTAAACCCTAAACCCTACACTTCAGGGCGTTTCAGCACCACCAAGCGGAAGCATCACTGTCGAGCTTGCGGTCGCGTCGTCTGTGGCAGCTGCAGTGGCTGCTCGACCCGGTGCAGCCCTAGGGTTTGGGGTACCCCTAAACCCTAAACCCTAAACCCTAAACCCGAAACCCGAAACCCGAAACCCGAACCCTAAACCCTAAACCCTAAACCCTACACCCTAAACCCGAAACCCCAAACCCCTAACCCTAAACCTTTCCCTGAAAACCTTGCCATTGAATCATTGGGGCTTACTGTTGGTTGTCAGTAGGCAATTCGAGGGAGTTCGGGGTCCTTATGCCATTGCCACCCAAAAGGCTAGTACAGGTTGGTGGAAGGCGCCTCATTCACTAATTCCTTGCATTGTCGGTTCGGCGTGTGGGTTCTAGGAATGGTTTAGGGTTTTGGGGTTTAGGGTTTAGGGTTTAGGGTTTAGGGTTTAGGGTTTAGGGTATTAAATATCCTACTAGCTGAACCCGGTCGAAGCCTTCCCTATAGTCCGAACCTTGGGGTTTAGGGTTCAGGGTTTAGGGTATTTACGGGAAGTTTAGGGTTTGGGAAGTTATGTCAGAGGGGGTCTCATACCTTATGCATCCCAAGCCTCAGACCCGTGCGGGCTACTGATGGATGCTCTTGATGCCCACTCAAAAGACCTTGGGGACGACACTTTTGGGGTTTGACGATGTAGAGTTATGGGCTTTAGGCTGTAGGCATTTAGGATGAAACTTAGGGGATCTGGTACCAATATTCACGAGAATCAACTCCATGTCCATCGGAGTTCAGACATTCCTGAAGCTTCCTATTAACTGTATGGGGTTATTGTAAAACAAGACGAGATCTATGTTGATGTGAATGGCTCTTTTGGGCTTCAAATCTGTCATGTCACTTTGGGGATTAGGGTGTTTGGGGTAGTTAATGTATATTGGAATGCTTAGGGCAACAACATGGTGACCCTAAGCCCTTAACCCGAACGGCTTATGCTCCTGTACAGGGTTTGTTTCGACCCATAGACATACACCGGACGCTCCACCGGAAGTCCAAACACTAAGCGGTCTAGGGCGTAGGGAAACCGAAAACCCTTAAAGGGAACCAGCTCTATCTGCCCAGCTACCAAAAGGAGGACTGAGCTGGGCACGAAAACTTGCGAGGTTTCTGGGGGTTAGGGTTTGGGGTTTGGGGTTGAGGGTTTGGGGTTGGGGTTTGGGGTTTAGGATTTAGGGTTTGGGGCTTAGGGTTTAGGGTTTAGGGTTCGGAGCCCGTTGCGCAAGACAGCGCGTGCGCGCGCCTTGTGCTTCGGTTGCGATGTGTCTTGCGCGTGTCGGGCGATGTTGGACCAATCAGTCTTTCAGCATGTGCGATACTCCCCTAACCCTATACCCTAAACCCCAGACCTCATTCAGCCTGCAACAAGCCCCGCCTGCGCAGGAGCGGGTGTGTGACCGATGCTTCGACCTTCTTCGGCATGACAAAGGGAGGCCGATGAACGAGTCGATGATGGAGAACAAGCAGCTGGAGGCCCTTCTGGGCGTGGGCGTGTGTGTGTGTGTGTGTGTGTGTGTGTCCTGGCCAACCCTAAACCCTAAACCCTAAACCCTAAACCCTAAACCCTAAACCCTAAACCCTAAACCCTAAACCCCTGAGCATCCTCGTGAAGCATTGGAGTCCGTAGTCCTTGATGCAACATGGACGTCATGCCTTCTGGAGGGTTCTGGGCTTATTGGGCCTAAACGAATCAAATCTTTACCTCACATAACACACGACAAGCAAACCCCAAAAACTCCGCCTGACAATAGTCCCTTCTGTTTTATTTATAGCCCTCCGATGTCAGCATGGAGATGGCGGCTTTCTGGGGTGTTCTGATCGATTGAAACCCTCACCAGATCCCCAGTTGTTGTTCAAACCATTTTGTCTTTTTGAGGGAGGGGGGGGGGGTTCTGTTATAAGGCAGAGTGCACATATAAGCAGCACAAAACCCTTAACCCTAAACCCGCTTTTGGCTTCGAGGCATCGCTAAAAAGCGACCTCCGGGAGAAGCAGCAGCAGGAAGAGTGGTTTAGGAGCTTCTTGCTGAAGGCAGGGTTCGAGTTTTTGAATTTAGGGTTGGGGTTCCGGCAGTGCGATTTGAGGCGTAGGCGAGGGTGAATCAGTTCGCAGATGATAGAAAGGTTTTTTTGGGGGGGAGGACTTCATTCAGGTTAAGGAGCCGGGGTTTCCAGATGAAGGGGGTTGCGGGCGCAGTGCGAGCTAATTCAAAGGCTTCTGCGTTGAGGAAGAAAGCCTTGGTTGCTCTAGGACTAAGATTCACCAACCCTTAACCAGGACTAAGATGCATCAACCCTAAACCCAAAGTTAGCCTGGGCCTGTCTAAGCCTTAATTCAACCCTAAACCCTGGAACCCTAAACCCTAAACCCTAAACCTAACCGCCCCCAGTTTGCAAAGCAGGTGCGGGGCGATGCCGGGGACGCTGCGGGCAGCGAGCCAGACTCTTCTTCGGAGGGCGAGCTCAGGCGCAGTCCTGCTTTGGGAGGGGAAAGGAGGGGCCAGACCGAGAATCCAGACATTCTGCACCTACATACACACACTGATCGTTTGTATGTAGATATATATATATATATGTATATATGTCTCTGTGTGTGTGTGTGTGTCTGTCTGTCTGTCTGTCTGTCTGTCTGTCTGTCTGTCTGTCTGTCTGTCTGTCTGTCTGTCTGTCTGTCTGTCTGTCTGTCTGTCTGTCTGTCTGTCTGTCTGTCTGTCTGTCTGTCTCTGTGTGTGTGTGTGTCTGTCTGTGAGTGTGTATCGATTGATATTTCTATATATATCGTCTTCGAATTTCGTCTTCGCCCCCCACCCCCCCCGGAAAAGGGGACCCACTTCCCCGGGTCTCTGTATACATATATATAAATATGTATATATATATATGGATAGATAGATAGCATGGATATATATATATAAATAAATATATTGACTTGTGAAGAAAACTGTTGTATATGTAGGCACGTATGTTAGTGGGCCCCTGGCATCTTCGCGGATATCTTGTGGTTTGTGCCCTCGGGGGGGGGGGGGGGAGGTGCAACAGCATACACTCCCAAACCCGAAACACCCACACCCTAACCGCCCTAAACGCACTCTTCCAAAGCCGCTAATATTGCGATTGGCGGGCCTGGGCTTAGGTGCCTCATGACCCCAATGGGTTTAAAGCCCAACCCCAGAAGCCCTACTTGGAGGATCGGGGACTTAAGTAGTTACAAGTAGAAGTGGGAATCCCAGGTTCAGGCCCTGTAGGGTATAAGGCCAGTTTAGGGTTACCCTAACCCTAAACCCTAAACCCTAAACCCTAAACCTTAAACCCTAGGGCGCCTAAGTTCTAAGTCCTCCTGGTCGACTCAGTGGTCGTCATTAAGGAGGGCAAAAGTAGGACATCTGGAGATCTTGTCCTGTTTTTTGACACAGTACACCAAGACTCTCCCATCCCCAGCTCGTATCCCTTCCCACCTACAAGGGGTCCCTTAAAGCCTCGTCCCAGGCGGCTTAGGGTTTAGGGTTTAGGGTTTAGGGTTTAGGGTTTAGGGTTTAGGGTTTAGGGTTTAGGGTTTAGGGTGAACCGCTTCTGGGCATCCCCTCCACCAGGGCGCTCCTCGCCGGAGCGCGAAACCGATGGACGGAGGTGGGGCTTGACTCTACAGGAGATCATGGTTGTTGGCTGACAACGTCAGGGTTCAGGGTTTAGGGTTTAGTGTTTAGGGTTTAGGGCTGTCCACGTGAGTGGTTTTCAGGGCTTTGGGGTTCTAAGCCCTCAACCCTAAGCCCTAGAGTTTGGCATTTGGGGCTTCGAGATTCGGTACCCCGAAAGGTCGGGTATAAGGGTCCCTTTGAGCGTGTTCTTCTACTGGCTTCTACGTGGCATGCGGGGTTGAGGGCCCCTTCGATAAGCACCAGCAAGTAGAGGTGCTACTGGGGGGGGGGGGGGGCTTTGGGCTGCGCCCAGGGTTTAGGAGTTTAGGGTTCTGCAAAACCGAAGGCACATACCCTTTGTACAAACAAGTGACATCTAAAGCCCCAAGCCCTGAACCCAGGCCTGCGCACGCGCCGGGCGCCAGAAGATGGCAACCGAGGTGGGGTTCGGGGCATTTGGAGTCGCAGAGTAGGGGTTTGCTACTCTTTGCTTAAGAACCCCCCCCCATTCAAAAAAACAAACATGAAACGTATTGTTCCTTACAAGGGCAGTATAGAGATTTTTCTTCCAAAATGTTTGGGGGTGCTGAAGCATATAGTAGTTTGGGGTCTAGGGCCTAGGGGTTTGGGGTTCTAGGTTTTGTGGTTCAGGGCACCCTCGACCCTGAATCCTAAACCCTAAACCCTAAACCCTAAACCCTCTAAAATATGGTCCCTTTTGGGGTCCTTACGATAAGGTGGCCCCTCGTATTTAGGGAACCCCAAACTGGACCCTAATCTAAAGAACTGACCATATGCCATAAAAAACGCTAAACCCGCAACCCTAAACCCTAAACCCTAATCCCTAATCCCTAAACCCTAAACCCTAAACCCTAAACAAAAAAAATGTCGCTACGTAGCTCCTCCAAGGAGCTTCAGTCGCGTTGCGAGGAGCTGGAGCGGGAGTGCGTCGAGAAGCAGGCGGTGCATATAGGGCTTATAGGGGCTTATAGGGTTTATAGATTCAATACGTTTATAGGGCTTATAGGCGTTATAGGGTTTATAGGGCTCATATGGTTTAACTGTCGGATTCTATCGGTTTTGTAGGGTTGGGGATTAGGTTTGGCGCTTTGGGGCTTTAGGGCTGTAAGCAGCGCATGTGTGAGAAGTGGCTCCTCTCAGAGGCCCTGAGGTGGACACTGCTTATAGGGTTCTTAAAGGCTTAGGGTTTAGGGCTTAGGGTATGTAGCCCAAGGCTCCCTAATACTCCCTACCACTCCCTAAGGCTCCCCAAGCTTCTTTAAGGTTCCCTAGGTACCTACCCCCCCTCTCTTAAGAACCCCATAAAGTGCCGCGATTGCTTCTTAGCCGTACACTTGGAGGTTCATGGTGCTTATGACCCAACTATAACCCAAAAAGGGTACTTGAAGGGCTTATATGTGGGTTCTGACTACACTTTTACAGGTTTACTAAATACCCTGAACCTCAAAAGCACCCTCAATCGAAAGAACCCTGAACCCTCAACTCTGAACCCAGCCGCAACCCAGCCCCTAATCCCTAACCCCCCCCCCCCCAGGCAAAAAACAAAAAAAAAATCGCTGGAGCCGTGAAGCCATGTAAGCAAACACCCTGAACCCTGGACCCGTCGACTACAAACCCTAAACCTAAGATTCTAAACCCTAAGCCCTAAGCCCTAAACCCTAAACCCTAAACCCTGAACCCTAAACCCTAAGCCCTAAACCCTAAACCCTAAAGCCTAAAGCCTAAAGCCTTTAAACCTAAGATTCTAAACCCTAAGCCCGAAATCAGGAAGCCATCGCAAAGCTCTCGCGCGCCATAAAGACCACCGAGTCGCCATTTGGGCTGCGAAAAGCCCAAAACCCTTTTGAGGTTCAGGGGTTCAGGGGCTTAGGGCACTTATAAGGTCTCGGGTTCCCAAAATTCTTAGGGGTTGGGGTTTAGGGTTTAGGGTTTAGGGTTTAGGGTTCAGGGTTTAAGGTTTAGGGTTAGGGTTTAGGGTTCAGGCCCTACAGCCCTCAACGCTGCCACTAACCTCGATCGCTTGGGCCGATCCGAGGAATCTCAAAGTGCGTCCGAAGCTGCAGAGCGAGTGCGAACAGCCTCACGACTCGCTTGATTTGGGGTTTAGGGTTTGGGGTTTGGGGGTTTGGGGTTTGGGGTTTGGGGTTTGGGGTTTGGGGTTTGGGGTTTGGGGTTTGGGGCTGCGGGTATAGGGTTTAGGAGTTTAGCGCGACCCGTCTGATATGGGGGTTTACGAAATTCGGGGTACCTTATTGGGGTCCTAATTACAAGAGGATCCCACTATTTGGGGGTCTATATTAGCGGTCCCGTATTTTCGTAAACTCCCATACAGGGTTGAGGGTCTTAGGGGTTTAGGGGTTTAGGAGTTTAGGAGTTTAGGGGTTTAGGGGTTTAGGGTTTGGGGTTGAGGGTTTACGGTTAGGGTGTACTGTGCTTATGCGGCTGAGGGTTTAGTGTTTCGGGTTGAGGGTTCAGTGTCTTCTCAGAGGCTATTGGCTCATTTGTGAACCCCAAGCAAGTAAAAGAGAAAAGGGATCAGGGTTTCGGGTCAAGGCTTGGGGATTATAACTGAGGACCAAGAAGAGAAGCCCTGGCTCCCTTCAGAGAAGCCGAAAACGTTTAAGCTCTTGCTTTCCTTGCTTAGGGCCGGCGGGGTGGGAAACCCTAAACCCTAAACCCTAAACCCTAAACCCTAAACCCTAAACCCTAAACCCTAAACCCTAAACCCTAAACCCTAAACCCTAAACCCTAAACCCTAAACCCTAAACCTCTCTTTCATATATAATTTAAATGTTAAGGAGTTACTGGGCAAGATCGCCGTTTTACTGGGCAAGGTCGCCGTTTTACTGGGCAAGGTCGATTTTTGACCAAAATCGACCTTGCCCAGTAAAACGGCGACCTTGCCCAGTAAAACGGCGACCTTCGAGGCCGAAGGTAGCATTTTTACTGGGCAGGGGGGGGGTGTCCGAAGGTCGCCGTTTACTGGGCAAGGTCGCCGTTTTACTGGGCAAGGTCGCCGTTTTACTGGGCAAGGTCGCCGTTTTACTGGGCAAGGTCGCTGTTTTACTGGGCAAGGTCGCCGTTTTACTGGGCAAGGACGCCGTTTTACTGGGCAAGGTCGCCGTTTTACTGGGCAAGGTCGCTGTTTTACTGGGCAAGGTCGCCGTTTTACTGGGCAAGGTCGCCGTTTTATTGGGCAAGGTCGCCGTTTTACTGGGCAAGGTCGCTGTTTTACTGGGCAAGGTCGCCGTTTTATTGGGCATGGGCAAGGTCGTTCTATAAGTAAAATATTTTCTTAATGTTGTGGGATCCTTTGGGCGGGTGGGTATTTTCCTGGAGTAATTGCTTGACTAGTGAATGCTTTGACTTGAGATGCTGAACCCTAAACCCTAAACCCTAAACCCTAAACCCTAAACCCTAAACCCTAAACCCTAAACCCTAAACCCTAAACCCTAAACCCTAAACCCTAAACCCTAGCATCGTTTGGAGAAGCAGAGGCTGAGCCGCACCAACAAGAGCCTCCAGCAAGAGCTGGACGGCCTGCGCCAGCGGACCCAGGCTCTCGAGGCAGGGGTTCCCAGAGGGTTTAATGGTTTTGTTTTTTTTGAGGGTTTAGGGTTTGGGGTTTGGGGTTTGGGGTCTGGGGTTTGGGGTTTGGGGGGGGGGGTGGGCTGGAAGAGTTCAGTTTGGGGTTACAGAGGTTTTCAGGGCTGTAAAGGAGGATGTTTTGCGGCCTATAAGGTTTAAAGTGGCGTTGCGGGGTCTTTCTCTGGTTTTACAGGTCTTTGTTTATAGTGGTCTACAGAATTGATAGGGCTTACAGGGTTTACAGGGCTTTATAGGGTTACAGAGGGTTACAGGGTTCACAGGGCTTAGTTAAGCCCAGGGCCCAGGGTTGAAGGGTCTTGGGGGTGAGGGGGGGGGAAGAGTTGCAGGGTGAAAATGGTTTACTGCCCGGGGGGGGGGGGTTTAGGAGTTGGGGTTTGGGGCCTAGGCTTGGTGGGTTGAAGGGGGGTAGGAAACCTCGCATGCTCCCAAATTCCTTTGCGCGCGCCGGCTTCCTCAGGTTCTCTCCCCAAGGTCCCTGAATCCTTGAAGTTCGAAGTTCCTTCAGGTTCCCTCCGGTCCCCGAAGGCTCCCCAAGGCCCCCTAAGGTTGGTTCCCCAGGGTCTAGGGTTTAGGGTTTAGGGTTAGGGTTTAGGGCGTAGGTTTGTTCAAACCCCCCCCTGCAAAAACTACCCTTAAGGCAGTGCTCCAGCTGGGAGTACCCCCGGTGAACGGTCCACTTGGGTCGGTAGGGTTTTAGGGTTTAGGGGTTAGCAGTTAGGGCTTGGGGTTTAGGGTTTTAGGGTTTTAGGGTTTTAGGGCTTTAGGGTTTTAGGGTTTTAGGGTTTTAGGGTTTTAGGGTTTTAGGGTTTTAGGGTTTTAGGGTTTTTGTGTTTTAGGGTTTTGGGGTTTTAGGGTTTTAGGGTTTTAGGGTTTCAGGGTTTCGGGTTTCGGGTTTAGGTCCCAAGCTTGGGTTCAGAGGGTTCCAAAAGCCTCAACCCCAAGCTACGTCCCCAAACCCTACAAAGCCCTAACTCCGGGCATCCCGGACAAAGGGGCTAATCCTAACCCTTCTAAACCCTAAACCCTTCTAAACCCTAAACCCTTAACCCTAAACCCTAAACCCTAAACCCCGAAGAGGCACACCTGCCCACAAGAAGCAGCTCCTTCCAGTCCTTCTTGTCAGTTGGGAGCCTTGACTGTTGCAAGGGTTCTGAAAGGAAGAGGAGGCCCGGGGTTAAAGTTTGGGGTTTAGGGCTTAGGGTTTAGGGTTTAGGGTTTAGGGTTAGGTACCCTAAAGCAGGAAGGGGAGGTCCAGGTGAGGGGTTTGGGTACCCTGAACCCCCTAAAACCCTTTAAACCCTAAGACCCTGAAAACCCAAGACCCTCAAACCCCTTGTAAGACCCGAAGCCCTAAGACCCTAAAGCTTAAACTCTGAACCCTGAACCCTGACAGAATGCCCCAGACCCTGAACCCTGAACCCTGAACCCTAAACCCTGAAGCCTGAACCCTGGCAGAAGCTTAGGGTGGGGGCTTAGGCTTTTGGGGTTTAGGGTTTATGGGTTTAGGGTTTACGGTTTAGGGCGGTTTAGGGTTTGGCAGGCAGCAGGAAGAGGGCTTATAGGGTTTAGGGTTTAGGATTTAGGGTTTAGGGTTTAGGGTTTAGGGTTTGGGGTTTAGGGTTTAGGGTTTAGGGTTTAGGGCTGAGGGCTGAGGGTTTAGCGTTTAGCGCTTAGGGTTCAGGGTTTAGGGCGAGGGAGTAGGGAAGTTCAGCTCCCATCTGTCAAGCTCAGGACGTCCTTCCAGCTCACGAGGATGGAGGAGTGCAGATATCACTGCCGCCGCCGGTGTTCCGTGATGTGAGCTGCTTCTGAGTCGCAGGGGCGCTGAGAGGTTAGTCATGAAGACCAAAATGATAGATCCTAACCCCTAAACCCTAAACCCTAAACTCTCTGATAGGGATCTCTCTCTCTCTCTCTCTCTCAGCAGGGTTTTGGGCTTTAGAGGGTTTAGGCTTTAGGCTTCAGGGTTTGAGGGGGTTGAGAGTTAGGGCCAAGGGTTCAGGGTGTGGGGATCCGGGTCTTTAGTAGTTCTTTGGGTGCCCTTGCTTGTGTCACCTGCGCAGCGGATGCCCTGGAACAGTTGGCAACCGAATCGCTCCGTCTCGTACCGAAAGATTGGGCACTGCGTGCAGTCGCGGGTTTGAGGAAGGGTTTAGGGGTTAGGGGATTAGGGTTTAGGGGTAAACACGACCTCCTGTGCAACCTTCATTTCATGGGAATTAGGGTTCAGGGTTTAGGGATGGGTTAGGGAGGGGGGGGGTTCAGACTCAGTGGGTGCCTCTGGTTGTTATTGCCAGCTCCCTAAACCCTAAACCCTAAACCCTAAACCCTAAACCCTAAACCCTGAGCCCTACATGCAAACCCTGAAGTTAGATTATCGGGATTATTGTCTCCTTTTTGGGGGAGGGGTTCTTAAGCAAGTAGTAGTAGTAGTAGTAGTAGTAGTAGTAGTAGTAGTAGTAGTAGTAGTAGTAGTAGTAGTAGTAGTAGTAGTAGTAGTAGTAGTAGTAGGTGCAAGAGTAACATACCACTACAGCAGACACCAACACACCCAAAACATCTCCAGCCGTGCGCAACCCCCACAGGGCTGAAGCCCAAACCTTGAGACCTTAAACCGCTCAACAACTACTGCGGGCAGGTTGGCTTCACTTGGTTAGTTTCCCGTTCCCTGTTCTCCTCTCACATGGAAGGCGAGCCCTGCGGACTGCTTTAAGCATGAGTGCAGCGGACGAGCAAGAGGACGAGCAAGAGGACGAGCAAGAAGAGCTGCACCGCCGAGCTTTCGACGACATCGGCTTTTCCATGCAGCACCGCGATGAAGCAGACCTTGCCGCAGAAAGGCAGGCGCGGGTGGCCGAGTTTGTGGCACAAATGGACCTCATCAGCCCAGAGGTTCTGAGGGTGACGCCCGCATTTCGGGCCTTCCAGCACTGCTTTCAAGCTTCTTGGTCGCCCCAGAGAGGTGCCTTTTTTTTGCCACCTTGTCTTGGGTTTGGAGGTTCCCCTTTTATGGAGCAGCAAGCCTAAGCAGGGTAGCCTTATCACAAGATGGTTGCTGGGCTACTAAGGCTTTTCGAGGCGCAAAAGGCATCGACCTTTACTCAAAGAGTCGGCGGAGCCACAAGATAGCAGCCTTCTGGAGCCATTCTTGGCATGGGGCGCGCTGGAAGAAGATTTCGACGGGGGGCGTCACCATCTACAACGGCCAAGCGGCCATCATGTTGGGCATGTTCGTTGCTGTTGTGATGATGGTTTTGTTCCGTTTCCTGGAGCTTCCTGGGCACGACCGGAATGATCGTATGGAGGGCTGGTCGGTGTGGTCCACGTGGTCTGGTTTCTTGGCCACTTCTCTGGTAGCGATCTTTGGGCGGCCTCAGACTGATGTCTTCCTGGACCGCATCTGCATCAGTCAGCGCAATGAAGAACTGAAGCTGAAAAGTATAGTTACTAGGTAGGCCCTTGGAACATTTTATGTTTCCCTTTTTGGGTTCAAGAGGATCATAATAGTCAGGAATAGCTTGTACCCTAAACCCTAAACCCTAAACCCTAAACCCTAAACCCTAAACCCTAAACCCTAAACCCTAAACCCTAAACCCTAAACCCTAAACCCTAAACCCTAAACCCTAAAGGGCCATCCTAGGTCAGTCTGGCCGGACTTCTACGAAGGTCGGAGTCGATGCTCGTCCTCTGGGATCCCACGTGGACCACAAGGCTGTGGTGCTTGTTCGACCCTAGGCCCTTGGGATTAGTTTGTGGTTTAGGGTTTAGGGTTTAGGGCCAAAGTTTAGGGTTTAGGGTTTGGGGTTTAGGGTTTAGGGCGAGGGTTCAAGAGGGGGGTTCAAGAGGATCTCATCTATCAGTATGTTTCGAAGGGCTTCCTAGGGTCCGCGAGACAGGAATTGGCGGCCTTCTTGAAAAGCAACGAGCACGAGGGTCAGAAGCGAAAGCTGATCATCTCCCCAACCCTTCTGGGGCCAGTTCGCATTGGAATCTTCCTGACTGCCACCGCTGGCGTGCTTGCTTTCATAATGTCGCCTACCGTGCGGCCCTCGGCTTCGAGTGCGCAGGAGTATTTCCTCAACGAAAGGTTTGTCACCCTGGTCGTTCTCCTTGTGGTCGACTACGCGCTTGTCAGCACTTTGAGAAGCTATTTTCGAGATTTGGACACTATGAGGCGCCAGTTGCTCTCCGTCTCCTTCGATACGGCTCTGTGTGCGTGCTGCACCAACAACCACGCCACACCATCCGGTGCTCCTGGCATGTGTGACCGCAAAATTTTGAAGTATTGTGTGTGCATCTGGTTCGGCAGCTCGGAATCGTTTGAGCGCACGCTGCGCTCAGAAGTTCTGGAGATTTTGGCGCAGGACCTTGAGCAAGTGTTGACCACCCGGTCAACAGTCGCCATTTTTGCGCCAATGATGTGGGGCTACATGGATTATGCCGCTACCTTCTCATGGCATGGAGGTCCCTTCTGGAGTCACGCGTCGGTGTCTTTTCTCGCTGTCGGTTTGGTTGTTTGGCTCGTGGGCATGCCGACTGTGAAGAGCTGGCTCCTGCTTGTGTGCAAGCTTGCGCGGGCGAGGCCAGGCAATCGGTGGTTGGAGGGCATGAAGAACACACTGATTGTGTGTATATCTCTGATTCCACTGATAAGCATTGGGCTCACCTTCTTGTTTGCAAGTGGTCTTTCCCTGCTTCCGCCAACACAACATGGAGTGACCATTGCCGGTACGCTGATCAATGCCGTGTTTTTTCGGTGCCTCGCCGGTGTCCTAAGATCTTTCCTTGGGTGGTGA